CGCGGGGCGCCCGGAGCTGCGCGGAAGCCCCTGCGGCCGCCCTGGCGCCCGTCTTGCGCCTTACACTTCTCTTCTCCCCTGTCTCTCGTGGGTTTCTTTTAGTAATTACTTTGCCAAAGAAGCACAAGAAGAAAAAGGATCGGAAGTCGTTACAAGAAGAAGATGTGGCCGTGAGTAGGATGTGCTCTACTTTGCTTGTATTACAAAAGAGTTTACTTAAGTAACAGCTGAAGAAAATAAGTGGTTTGGATGTTCCCAAGGAGTGGGCTGACTTCGCGTGCCCACCCTGTAAGAACCAAGGAAGCGCTGAAATGGTGCCCCGACGGGACGCTGTACGTGGTTTCCCACATGATGTTGGCCATGCCCGCAGTTCTCCCAGAATTTCTCCCGATTTGTCTCGCCGGCAGCCATACAGTTACCCTTTTTAAAATATTTGGACCCTTTATAGTGGCACATGACTTTCCCTAATGAGCTCCCGGATGGTTTCTTTTCTTTCTTGGAGGCCCTAGTGAAGAGGCATAGAAGGCCTTATTTCCAGTTTGAAAGGCGTACACTAGTAGCAGGGATGGAATTGTTCAAAATCAAGTGAAAAGGTCTAATAGGTTGTTTCTGTCCTGTGGAAGGAAATCCAACACGCTGAAGAATTTATTATCAAGCCAGAATCCAAAGTGGCTCAGCTGGACACATCTCAGTGGCCTCTGTTGCTCAAGGTATGTGCCCCGTGCATCCAGGGAATGGCTTTTGGAACGTTCATAACTGCTAACCAGTTGGTTAAGAATGTTTACTGTTAACATCTTCGAGTTTAGTAAATACCAGATGATAGCGTCTAAAGCACCATTCCTTAAGGTATCTGGAGTGAAAGATCCTGTTGTTTAGTGTTCCCAACACTTTTATAGAACACAGCGTTAATGTCACTACAGTAATAAATTGCTGTCAGTTTGTAAACGGTGCAGTGTCTGGTCTGAAGGTGAAATGCATCTTGTCAGCTTGCACCAGTTAGGGCACCACACTTGAAGTAGGAATGCTGTGGTGGTTAGGAGCTTTGAAGCCAGACCCATTTGGGTCAGATTGTGTGTGACCGTGAGCCATTCGTTTCCCCTTCTGAGACTGCACAAATCTCAGATGTGCCAAGGGTTACAGAACATGATGAGCCACAGTTCCTGGCATGTAGTATGTCTTCAATTATTGGTTTATTATTTGGGGTTTTAAATGAGGTATTTCAGTGATGGGTTAAATTATGGTATTTCTATAATTTCTACAATTAAAATGGATACCAGCAGTGAGGATTGGAGAAAAAGTTAAGAGGCACCCCTTGACGAAGCGTTACTAAACCATTGCATACGAAAGTATGGAGTTTGCTTATATCATTTAACAAGAGTTGAGTTTCTACTTGCCTGCTTAAACTGTCATGTAGGCATCACTTGCTTTTCTGTTGTTGATTCTGAAGATACGTTAGTAAACAGGGTAGCAGGGTCCCTGCTGTGAGGAAAAATAATGCTGGGCCATGGGAAGTGGACGGAGAAAAAGATGCTGTTTGTAATAAGTACCCTAATGAAGCTAAACTGGTGGCCAAGTGAGCTGGTGGTACCGTGGTAAGCGTGGCTGCCTTCCAAGTGGTGGCCAAAGGAAAAGCTGTATAAAGAATAGAGATGGGGCATCTGGAGCAGAAACAAGCTGGCTGTGTTGAGAAATGTTGCCAGTCATTGTCAGTTTGGCTGTCTTTTGTCCTTGAGAAAATCAGAGCCACTCCAGTTTTTTTTTTAAGTTTATAACCCTACATGGTGAAACCCAATCTGTTCTGTGGTACCCCAGCAAGTCTCTTTTACAGCAGTGAGTTGAACCAACAAGTGCTCAAGTTTGTCTTGTTTTTACTAATATTGAGGATTTCCCCTGTATCTCAGGAGGTTTAACAGGTAATCCAGGAGTAGAAATCCATATTTATGAATTTGAAAAGGGTTATCACATCATTTTATGTGTCTGGGATGTAGTATTCAGTTTTAATCGTATCGCATCATTGCTTTCCAGAACTTTGATAAGCTGAATGTAAGGACAACACACTATACACCTCTTCCTTGTGGTTCCAATCCTCTGAAGAGGGAGATCGGGGACTATATCAGGTAAGTATCCGGAGCATGCACTGTTCACACTTTACGTCCTTTTCCAAATCCTGCTTTCACATCACATCAGTTGTTCGAGGAGATTGTGTCATCCTAGAATGACTTTGCCCTGAACATACAGCTGACGTCTATGGTGAACTTACCTTTAACTTCTTAAATTTGGTTTTCATTTGTTCAAGAGCACAAGAGCAGGCAGTACATGGAACGATTTTTCCATTCTAGGACAGGCTTCATTAATCTTGACAAGCCTTCTAACCCCTCTTCTCATGAGGTGGTAGCCTGGATCCGACGAATACTCCGTGTGGAGAAGACAGGGCACAGTGGCACACTGGATCCCAAGGTGACTGGCTGTTTAATTGTGTGCATAGAACGAGCCACTCGCTTGGTGAAGTCGCAGCAGAGTGCAGGTATGTGGAAGGGAGCGAAGGGGTGGCTACCTGGAGCTGGGAAGGCACTCTGCATTTGCCTCCCGTCTCAGCTTTCTGAGTTCCAGGTGCTAGGCATGTGCACACCGAGCCCCTACTCCATTCCTAGCATGGGGGCAGAATTCTGTCCAGTGCTGGGCTTGTTGCTCCAGGCTCTGCTCTCCGTGCTTCTGCCTAAAGTGCCCTTGCAAGGCATTTTCCAGTCTGGCTCTACAATGGGTACTGTCCCTGTCCCTGTCCCTGTCCGCACTCTGAACCTTGAATTCCAGGTGAGAAAAAGTGTCTTTGACATTTCCTCACCAGCCTTGTGAATCTGGTTTAATAAAAATTTTACAGAAACATGGAGGTCAAGTTGCCTGCTTTCTTTGTTGTACAAAATGGCATGATTGAGCATATAAAAAATAGAGAAAATTCAGTGGCCACACCTGAGTACTCTTGTCATTTTTCAGGCAAAGAGTATGTGGGAATTGTCCGGCTGCACAATGCTATTGAAGGGGGTACCCAGCTTTCTAGGGTAAGTGTAACTGTAGAGAAGGTCGCTTTGGCCTCTAAACATCTACAACCAGGCCTGCTTTCCTGGTGAGCCTCTTACGCCCTTTCAGTGAGCTGCTTATCCGGCCTGGGCAAGGTTCTGCCAGGTCTCTTCTGAGGAGGAGGTTCTGGTCAGCACCGAGCCTGACTTGAGTAGTGAAGAGAAAAGCAGACACCAAAGGGGCATTTTCAGTCTTGAGTCACTGAAAGAAACCTGGATTTCATTTGTGTTTTAGACTCCCAGAGCATGCCCTTTAGGACCACACATGATGCTAGTGTCTGCTTTGCTTTGCACTTGTTCTCAGGCCCTGGAAACTCTGACGGGTGCCCTATTCCAGCGACCCCCGCTTATTGCTGCGGTAAAGAGGCAGCTCCGGGTGAGGACAATCTATGAGAGCAAGATGATTGAATACGACCCTGAAAGAAGATTAGGTGAGTCATTAGGCCTATGAGGAGCTGGATGCCACAGACCACAAGTGGGGAGGGACACTCTTGAGCATTCTGTGCTGTGGTTAAAAATAGATGCCTTTAGCACACTATAGTCATAGCCTGTGTCCATCATCTCAGTCTTGATGGCTCAGATGGAGAATAACAGTTCCTCAGCCAGCGATGTGTATACTCTGGAAACTAGATGCTGCTTACTTTGTGTGTGTGTCTCAGGGATCTTTTGGGTGAGTTGCGAGGCCGGCACCTACATTCGGACGCTGTGCGTGCATCTGGGTTTGTTGCTGGGAGTTGGCGGTCAGATGCAGGAACTTCGAAGGGTTCGTTCTGGAGTCATGAGTGAAAAGGTATGCCATTATGGGGCTAGAGGTTTTCCAGGTCTACCAACCCTTGGTGGGATTCCACCTGCTTCACGTCCTGTGGGAGGCAGTTTCCCAAGTGTTGCGTTCAGTTCAGGGCAGCCTCCCTGGTCTGTTAATTAAACTTCGGGACACTGAAATGGGCTGCGGTGACAACTGGGTAAAAAAGTATTCTGAGTTCATCTCCGAGCCTACAGAATTGCCTGATTCGGTTTGATGTAGCAACAGTTAAAGGTAGCCAGAAGAGAGGCAGTCGGAGAGACCTGGTGACTCATAATGAGCTTGTCCTAGCAGACGAGTTAACAGGTCTGACAGGTATTTGAGCTATGAAGACACTGAATTCCTTTCGTTCGTGGCTGTTTTTCAGGATCACATGGTGACAATGCATGATGTGCTCGATGCTCAGTGGTTGTATGACAACCACAAGGATGAGAGTTACTTGCGGCGAGTTGTTTACCCTTTGGAAAAGCTGCTGACCTCTCATAAGCGGCTGGTTATGAAAGACAGTGCAGTAAGTCTAGGTCAAGAGTCTCTGTTCAGATAGGATGTAACTCCAAAAGTAAGATACGGTCCTTGTTCTGAAAACTGAATTCCTCTTAAATGAAATTTTGGTGGTGCAGACTTTTATTTGTCATTTTGGGGATACTTCATAAACATTTTTGACTCCTAGTTGCACATGGTGAATGATGGATTCTCTTTGTTCATGGAAATGTGACTAAAATTTCTTGATGTCAAACCCTGTTATAGTACTCTAAAGTAAAAATTCAGTGCCAGGCCTACTTTCATTTTTAAATAAGGCAAATTAAGTACTGACTTTAGTTTTCCCTGAGTAACTTGGTTCAAGTAACAGACTTATTAGTGGTACATAAAATTTTCCTTTTTAGGAGAAGAATTTCAGAGATACCACATTTGTTCTATAGGAATTTTGGAAAAGTTATGTTCTCTTCAAGCAAATTGTAATTTGAGGCAATGTGATCCGAATTTAAAACTGAGTTTATCAAGCCCTTAGCATATATACTTCATAGCTTTGTAATCAAGAACAGTCCTGTTAATAACGCAGGTAACCGGGGCATGGTGGTGCATGCCTATAATTCCAGCGCTCAGGAGGCTAAGGGAGGAGGATTATCTCAAGTTTGAGACCAGTCTGGGCTGCATAGTGAGTTCAAGACCATGGTAAACTAACATGGCAAGACCTTGTCTCAAAAAAAAAAAAAAAAAAAAGAATTTAAAAACACACAAGGAGGGCCTGTTTACTCTTCAAGTATACTGTTTACTCTTCATGTGATTAAATTTTTCCAGTCTTTTTAGTATGCCTCTCCAGTTTATTATGGAGTTTTTAGTTTGAGTTTTTATAGTAGTAAGGTGATATAAAGTGAGTTTCTTGTTTTAGTTTGAGTTTTTATAGTAGTAAGGTGATTTAAGGTGAGTTTCTTATTCCAAACAGTCCAGAATTTTTTAAGTAGCCTTTTTATTCCTAATTGTACTATGATCAAAGAGTGAGGCCTTTTATAAATTGAAATTGTCTTTGTGGCCCAGTGTGTAATCAATTTTTAAATACCGTGTCACTAGAAAATTTTGCCTAACTTGAGGTTGGGGACAGGGATGCAGTGCAGGTCAGTAGAATAGTGCTTGGCTAGTGTGTGTGAGGGTGTTATCAGACTCTCAGAGATGGCCTTAGCTAAAGTACCATGAAATAAGAGAAGTACCCATCACAGTTGTCTTTGATGTTTTGAGTGCTGTGTATAAAATCCTTTGGGCAGTAGCTAGCACACACTCAGTGTTTGCTGCGGTCTTGTGTCTCACTGGGCTGTTCATACCATTGGCCCCATTTCCCGCTGGGCTACGTCACCCGGCCCTGCTGTGGTGTGCGAGTGTGACGGAACGCAGCAGTTGGCGGCTTCACTAACGATGCCCTCTTCCTTGCAGGTCAATGCAATCTGCTATGGGGCCAAGATCATGCTTCCAGGTGTTCTCCGCTATGAGGATGGCATTGAGGTCAACCAGGAGATCGTGGTCATCACCACCAAGGGGGAAGCGATTTGCATGGGTGAGGGGGGATGTTGCCCTCGTTTCTGGAGTTGCTTCCTTCCCGCGCTGTCACAGCTAGGCCTGATGAGAGCTGTTCCTTAAGTTGATCTGATGAATTTTGGGGTCTTGTGTGGTGGTGTGTGGGGTGGTCACGGGGAAAGGGAGGTGGGCAGGGCTCACCTTTATGTGCACATAGCCCCTTGGATCTTCAGGGAGAACTCACAGGTCAAGAGCACTCGTTGTTAGTTGTCTACTTCCATGTAGTTTGTTCAGTGCCAGTTTTTTTTTCTCATTTGTGAAATTTTAACTACTGTTGGATTGTCCCTTACTTTTTATACTGTGTGGCCCTCATCATGAGTAAGTCAGAGCCACTCACTTCCAATATCCCTAATTTGCAGAAGTAAAGCATGTCAACAGGACTCCTTGTAAGTCTAGCATCATTTCCAAAAGCCTCCTTCCCAGAAGGTTTTCTCCATACGTACATCTTGAACAAAGGAAACTGCAGTTAAAATAGAGTATGGGGCTTTCAGTAGGCCTGAAGAAGGCATGAAGTGCAGAATTACGGCTTAGCAGTTACCAAATGTTTCCCCTTCCCATCATCTTCTCTTTCCAACGTCTGTAGCCATTGCATTAATGACCACAGCAGTGATCTCTACCTGCGACCATGGTATAGTGGCCAAGATCAAAAGAGTGATCATGGAGAGGGACACCTACCCTCGGAAGTGGGGTTTAGGGCCCAAGGTAAGTGGGAGTGGGCTGTGGGCCCTGCCGTTACTGTTTGGCTGGGCACGTGCTCCACGGCTCCAGTGTGTCCCCACTGCCACAGGGGTCTGGATTGTTGGTTGCTCGTGAGCAGAGCAGAGGCAGGCCCTGTGTTGGGGCTCAGAGATTGTTTTAGTGGGGGAATGGTTGCATGTTACTTAAATAATCACACAGTGGGGTGGTGAGTTTCAGCAAGGACAGTGGCTCTGAGGAGCACGGAGGTACCTGACACCCAGAGAGTCTACCATAGGGAGTGTGACCTGCTCAGGGGTGAGGGCAGGGTCTTAACCAGTGTGCAGGCTAGATTAGGTGCTGAGGTAAAGCAGGGAGAAAGGGTTCAGGGCTGCTTTGCAGAACAACTTGAGTCCCTGCTGAAAATAGACAAAGGAGAGAAGCCTGTGCTGCCTTGTATACTGGAGGAGTCTGCGTAAGCCACAGTGTGCAGCTAGTTTCTGTCTCCTGCACTCATGTCATTCTAATGGTGAAGCCCTGTTCCACTAGGCAAGTCAGAAGAAGATGATGATCAAGCAAGGCCTTCTGGACAAGCATGGCAAACCCACTGACAGCACCCCTGCCACTTGGAAGCAGGAATACGTGGACTACAGGTGAGGGCGAGTTGTTCAGGGTTGGGAGGGTGCCGAGCCTGGGGGTGGGGAGGGGCAGACTGTGCAAATGGACCCTGTGAGGACACGACTGCCTGGGCCAGGCTTCAGCTGTCTCTTAGTAGTCTGGCCTGTGAGCTCTGGAGGGAGTCAGTCTGGGCTCTTCAGTCCAGTGTTAGTGTTTCCCTGGTGGCTTTGGACCTTCCCAGTATCACTGCATGATGAGGCTGCAGCACAAGCACTGGCTGAAGCTGCTCAGTGGATTTGACCCATTACTGCCTTATCCTCTCTTAGTGATTCCAGCAAGAAAGAAACGGTTGCTGAAGCGGTGAAAACACCACAGGTAGTTGCTGAAGTGACAAAAGCCCCACAGGTGGTCACTGAGGCAGTAAAAGTCACAAAGGTGAGTGGCTCGCATGATCCTTGGAAATGGGCATCAGCATCGGGCTTATCTCGGTGTGCAGCCTAGCATATCTACTTGGTGTGGCGGGCTTCTCGCTGTCACCTAATGGCTGCATGCATGTGTGCGCGCGCGCACACCCCCACACACACACACATGTGTGTCTCGGATTGTGTTGCCCTCGTGTTCCACTCGTGTCAGCTCTCACCTCAGCTGTGGCAGTAACCCCAGGCCAGCACGGATGGCGAGTGTTATTCCAGCCTCTACCCTGGGTTGGGTGGTACCCTGGGTCTGCACAAAACAGGGTACAGAGTTGCTGGAGACCAGTAAGCATTTCTAGGTGGCACCAGTGCTTAAAGGGTCTGAGTGAAGCCTGTCATAGCAGTTTGGTTCCCCCGGGTTGGGGCCCAGAATGGCATGTTGCACTTGGCACTCTCAGTGGTACCAAGTACCAAGTGACCTGAGCTGTGTAGGTGGAGCTTGTAACTTGTCATGTGTGAACTTACCCAGCTGTGCCTGCCCTGTGTGGGGACTTGAGGGCATATCCCTGTGTTCTGTAGTCCAGAAATAGCTTCTCGGGAAAACGTAACTGTTGGGTCCAGTTGAGATATTTGGTGACTTCCTACTTCTTGAGTTACTGAACTTTCTGTGTCCATTATTGCCCAAAGTCTAACTTTGATCACTTGTCATCTCAGCGTAAGCGAGAGAGTGAGAGTGGAAGTGATGAGACCCCTGCAGCAGCCCCCAAGTTGTCCAAAAAGGAAAAAAAGAAGAAGAATAAGGACAAGAAAGCTAAAGCTGCACCGGAGAGCGGGGGCGAGCCTGGAGATGGGGTACGACGAGCATGTGCAGGCTCAGCCCTTGGCTGAGGCAAAGGTTGCTCACTTACGTTCTGGAGTGGCCTTGTTTGTGCCCGAGGGATGGACAGGCGGGGTACCTGGCCCTTGAAAGAGGTGGCTTACAGTGTGAATTGTGTTGGGGGTAGTGGAGGGAGGTGTGCTTTGATCATCTGAAGGTCCCTGTTTGTGCGAGTACACCAGTAGGGTCTCTTTCTTCTCTCTAGGACAGTGACACTGCCAAAAAGAAGAAGAAGAAGAAGAAAGCCAGAGTGGTGGAAGTGGCATCTGAGTAGCAAAGGCTGCTTTGAGCAGTTGTGTCCAGGCAGCAGGAGAAATGGAGAGCCTTAGTGAGAGAAACAGTTCCTTTTGTTGAGGGAGTGGAACAAAGACCCCGGACAGGGTGGAGCGTCCCGGCACATTTAGCTGCTCCTCGAGACCTTCTCAGTGGCATTACCCGCGTGCTCATCCCATCTTGTCCTGTTTTAAGGATATGAGTGATGGAGGAGGCACATTTTATGCCATTGACTCGTCTGAGTTGGGAAGCTCCACCTTCGGACCCAGTACTGCCCAGTAACTGTGCGGCTGTTGGCTAACGGTCATTTTTAACAACAGTGTAGTCCTCTCCTCGTTTACTTTTTCTTACCCCATTTAAAAGGTTTGTAAAAATGAATTGAATGAACTGGTGTAGAACCATCACTAAGTGAAATAGTAGAGCTGACCCGTGTTGCTCACTGGGGAAGCCTTGTGTTGGACGTCCTTTAAGGACAGCAGTCTCTTGTGGTGGTGTCCCCTTGTGTTTCTGGCCCAGCTGTTGGTCCACTGTGTGCACTTCTCAAAGCCTGTGTGTACAGCAGAATTCACCCAAACCTATCTGGCTGTTTGTGGTGGAAACCAAGCCGTTCCTATATTTTAACCCTCATTTACTTTTGAGGAATGAATTTGCTCGTTGCTAGGAGAAGAATGTGGTGATTTTTACATATTAAAATTGATTCTTGATGTTTTTTAAGTATTCCTGTTGGGTTTTATAGTTTTAAGTGATCTCAAACTGGCAGAGCAAAATATATGAAATTATTTTGATTAAAAATATGGAGACTTTCCTGTCCTATTTGAAGTTTGGCTTTCCTTTGTTTGGCTAGTTTTATATTTCTCTGTCTTTCAGTGCTTACCTTGGGGCCTGTCACTTGGGTGGGAATCTCAGGATAGAGGTGGGTTGCAAGAGGTGTGTCACATAGTAGGCCTGGTGCGGGAGGGTGTCTGAGGGGTGGGGGGGCACACATCTGGGTACACGGGGGTTCTGGCAGTTGGGGTCCGGAGGGTGGTGAGTGGGGAAAAGGAAGTTGGAGTCGAGTTGGTGCAAGTCTTGGCAAACAGCAGTGGGCCCTCAGCCCCACACACGGAACCAGGTCTGATAGGGGGAGAGGCCACCCTGACAGACTGGCTCAGCCTCTGCTTAACAGAAGCTTAGACATGCGCCCATGGCGGCCTGCAGGTGAGCCCTGCAGTGCAGTCCTAAGGGGCTTTTTCAAAGGCAGTGCTGTGTTTGATCGGCCACATCCGGACCCGAGAAGGGCATCTGGCATTGATGCCACTGCCCAATTGAAATGCAGCAGGCAGCACTTCCCTTTCTAGAGGGCTGTGTGGTGCAGATGGAAACCAAGTCGCAAGGTTGTTGGTGTTTTCACAGCCACATCTTTATTGCTTTGAGAGTTTCCCTAGAGCAGGTGACTTGCACAGCTGTTTCACTTGGCATCTTAGAAAGTCGCAAAAAATGCTTTCTCCAAAGTAAAGACCAATGAAAAGCTACCCAGTGCAGTTGAAGGTGGAGAAGCTTAGGCTTCAGAGGAAAAGGATCCACTGCTTTTTTGTGCATCTGTGATTAGCAGTTGCGTTTTGGTAGTACTTATTCCCAATTTCCAGATACCTTTTTGAGATCCAGATCAGTAGGACCCCATCAGGAAAACCAAACCCAGCCTTTCAGGAGCCTGCGTGATAAGATGATCCTAGTGGCCTATCTGGGAGAGTTGCAGAGAGCTGGAAGCTGACAACTAGTTGAAGCAGCCCTTTTTTCTTAAAGCAAGGGGAATGGAGTTCAAATGCAAAGAGAGGCACACTAGCTCCCCGAGCTGCAAGCTTAGTAAACCCAGGAGACGGGCACCCACTGTGGAGAGCTGCATGCTTGCTCAAAGGCTTCCTGCAGTTTCTGAAGGGTTTCATCAACACCGTTATTGACCAAGGAGAGGTCAAAGTAGTGAGCATACTGGCTGCGGATAGCCTCAGAGTCCTTCTGCAGCTGCTGCAGGGCTTCCGTCTGCAACAAAGAACCGTGGGTGAAGCAGGTGTAGCACCCCTGGCCCAGAGAGGCCAAGGGGAAGAAAAAGGCCAGTAATCCAATGGAAAAATGAACTAACGATATGGCCAGCTAATTCACAAAAAAGACAACACAAATGCCTCTTATTTTGGGGGATGGGTACTGGGAATTGAACTCAGGACCTCATGCTTGCCAGGCTGGCCCTGTGCCACTGAGCTAAATCCCAGGCCCACAAATGGCTCTGAAGATAGCATGAAAAGCTAATTTCCAGTAAAAGATAAAAAGTGTGAAATGCTGTTTTTCCCACTATGAGATTGGCAGAAAATGAAAAATGTAACGAACATGCTACGGGACAAAATGAAGTAGGTACTCACAGGCCTGTCCCCACAGCCACCCCCACCCCGGGGCTTTGGTGCCCCTGCTGTCTCCTGGAGCGCCCTCTGCCCGCCCTACCCGAGTCCCCACCCCAGCACAGCAGGATCTGCTCAGCTGTCCACTTCTGCTGCGGGACCCAGCCCTACCCCTCCAGGACAGGGACAGTCCCATTGGTTTTGTCCCTGTTACCTAAGCAGGGGTGGTACAGCCAGTGGGGTAGTAACTACCAAATTAATGAATGAGTGAATGAACGAAACGCTGTCCTTCATCTCCTTGCAACCCCAGCTGAGGAAACCCCATCACCCTGCCCGGCTGCGCCCTTACCTGAGCGCCCTGGTCAGTAGGTGCAATGAACACAATGAAAGGTGAAAGCTCTGCTGTCCGAACAATCTTCAGGGTCTAGAAGAGGAAAGGCGAACAAAGAAAGGGAAGGAAAAAAAAAAAAATGTCAAAATACACTGCTTCGCGATAAGCAGCTTTAGGCTTTACCCATGCTGGTAACTTCCAGCCCTACTGCTCTTGTGGCAGGCTCACCCCACTAAACATAGGAAGCAAGCCCGAGCTCCCACCAGACACCCAGGAGCTTGCTTTGCATTGCACTCCACACCACAAGCGGCCCGACCAGCACTCCTGCCTGCCCACACCTCTGCACCTGGGGCTCGATGTCAAGGATTGCAATCTTGTTCTGTTTATGAATCTGGTGCACGGTTTCAAACTTGGTCCCAAACATATTGCCCTGATAGCTGCCAAACTCCAAGAACTCGTTAGCAGAGATGTTCCTCGTCATCTCCTCTGTTGAGATGAAGTGGTACTCCTTCCCATCTTCCTCACTCTTCCTTGGTGGCCGTGTTGTGTCTGTGGACAGGGACACCAAGTCCTGATGAGCTCAGGTCCTCACTATCTCTTAATGGCTTGGCCCACGTTGTCTGTATGGGGCAGAGATGTGACAGGGGGTGTCCTTCTGTGGGCTCCTGAAGGGTGATGCTGGATGGCAGTGCAGACCAAGAAACCCATGTGCCCGGGACATAATTTTGAAGAAGCAAAGCCCAATGTAAGAAATTTGTATCGTTTTCCCCGTATGAAGTTACATTTCTCCAACCACCAAATCCAGGAATACTGAAGCTCAGAAATGAAGAAATGACAGCTGAAAATATTTTAAGGGATCTCGGAGCTGGGTGTGGTGCAAACGTGTGTCACCTCAGCACTGGGGAGGCTGAGGCAGGAGGATTGCTGGGAGTTCAAGGCCAGTGTGGCTACACAGCATGACCCTGTCTCAATCCCCACCACCACCAAGAAAGGGGATCTCTAAACTACCAGGCACTGAGATGCAGACCTGGAATTCCAGCACTTCTCCCACTCACTCCTCACTCCGTCCCTGTGGACGACTCTCAGTGATCCATGTGTAAAAAGGCAAAACATCTACCAGCAGGTTCACAGTCTGGTTCTCTATGTCATTTAGCAGGACCTCAGAATACCCACAATGCTGAAGCGAATCACTTCTGAGAACACAACAGCGATTGTTCTCCATAACTAAGGCTGCTCCCAAGACTCTTCAGGCTTGTCCTAAGCTCTGCTTTGATTTAAAAGGTGTTTCACGAGAACTGGAGCAGCCTAAATCTCAAACAGCAGTGAGATAGCTAAGGAAACTACTGTACATCCAGTGTCCAAATAAAACAGTTCTCAAAGCAATGTAGGCAGACAGTAGAGGACGAGAAAATTGATAAAGTATATTTAAAAATGCAATATGTATAAATTTTCTTTTTTTATATATAGTTCTGGGGATTGAATCCAGAGTCTTCAATGTGCCAGGCAAGGGCTCTACCACTGAGTTAAACTCTCAGCCTTTTTCATTTCTTATTTTGAGTAGGGGCTTAAGTTGCTCAGGCTGGCATCAAACTTGTGACCCACCTGCCTGAGACTCCTGAGCAGCTGGGATTACAGGTGTGCGCCACCATACCCAGCTAATGAATTTTAATTCTGAATTTTTAAAAGAGTAAAAAATGTTTACTACAGCTTCTGTTACCGGTATATAGACGAGAACAAGACAAGTTATTTTGTTAGTTGGAGCAATGGTGGGTATAAACTTTTCTTTCCAAACTTTTAGTTTTTATAATTAAACACTTAAAAATAAAACTATGAAGAAAGGCTGCGTGGCATCTCAGGCAGAGCGGATAGCAACCTACAATGAGGACGCGCCATCCTTCAGGCTGCCCGTTCTCCAAGGTGCAAGAGCTACTTACACGGGGCCGGGTACACGAACTTCTCCGGGTTCTGGCTGAGCAGGGCATTCTTAATGTGGCTGCGACCAACCCCGCTGGCTCCTGCGTGGGGAGAAAAGGAAGCTTCCTCACTGCACCCAAGACAAAGGCAGGGACAAGAGTGGAGATGCAGCAGTTGCTGCCGGAAATTGGGGACCACCGAGTTGCTTCCAGTCCTCTTTGATCCATTGGTGGGGGAAGGAGGCTTTTTCTAAGGGCTGTGGGTCAGGATGCAGCATACAACTGTCATTTCCATGAAAGAACCAGCCAACATGGAGTTTTCTGTTTATTTTGCAAGTATATTCGCTCTTACGAATTTCCAAAGTTAATGGAATGAAATTTAAGTCAGTGTTTTTGTTGGGAATTTCCCTCAAACTCTTAACAGATCCTCTAACCAACCAATGTTTTGGCTCTCACGACAGGAAGGTAAGCCGCTCAGCAGGCTCAAGGCCCCGTACCTGGGTCAGGAGCCAGGACTCATTGCACTTTAGGTCAGAGCTGTTTGGGGGCATATGGAAGGCTCTGCAGCTCGGGGGACTTCGAGGGCCCTCGCTAGGCCGGCGAAGCTGTAACTTTACGCAAAGCACGAGCCTATCACTGGCATACCCTCCTGCCACCCACGTGGATGAAGAGGGTTATGACCAAACCCAGCCCAATAGCAGAAACCCCATAAGGTGAGGCGGACCCCGGTGGAGAGCTCTTCCCATGAATATAGGTGGGAAGCAAGGACAGGCATGCACTCTGGATCTGGCAAAGCAGTAGGGCGCAGTGAGAAGATACCGATCAGCACCAAGGTCTTCCTCTTGAACGCAGGGAGCCGGACAACTTCCTCGTAGGAAACAACATCCAACTGGTCAAAAACTAGAGACAGAGAAAATGAAGCAACATTCATTTGCAAGCCCGGCTGGGAAGAGCGAGCCAGGGTTAAGAAGCTGACACCCAGCCAAGCAGTGGGGGAAGAGGCTGGAGCTGAGGCTGGGGAGGATGGAAGGGAGGAAGACTCCAGACTGCATTTGTTTTTATTTTAATGTGACAAGTGAGTTTTGAGCAAGGGACTGATGGGATCCTGCTTAGCTTCTGAAAGGCTAATCCTTGGCCGCTCGGTAGGAGATCAAGCACAGGGGCTGGGATCAAGGCATCAGGACCCTAAACCACAACCAGCGCCATGACTCACTGTTTACACTGTGGGGAATCTGAACTGAATGTAACCTTCCTGGGGAATGAAGACGACTCTGCCTAATCAGAAGTGTTAAGCCGCTGTCTGGGGCAACCACAGGCGATACTGATAAGAATTAGGAAGAACAGGATGTCACAGTAAACTAAGTCTGTTTGAGTAAACTGAAACACATTGGCGCCTTCCTGTGGGCTTTGATCTGGTTTCCTCAACAGCCTCCCCGTGACCCCTTGACATGACTGTCTGCTAGCTCTTCGGACTCTGATTCCTCCCAATTTTTTAGACTCTCCATTCTCACCCTTCTTCTGTCTCTCAGCTGACTTTTCTGGTCTGCTGTTCTCCCTTCTCCCTAGTTGCAGTAACCTGGTGACTCCTGTTTCCAAGCCAGATGCTCCCCTTGGAGCCAGCTCCCTCGGGTATGAAGCTTGGCTGCCTCACGGGCACTCAGAACTCAGTGATGCTAACACAACGTCCACACTGCCTTACCCCAGGGACGCCGCCGACCTGACTCCAGCCATCGCCTCCCAGGCCCTCGCTACTCCTGTGTACGTTTCTGACGTGCTTGACAACTCTGGGTTCTATGATTTGCTCATGAGCTTCTCTCTGTTTAGAATGCTCCCAAAAAAGTGGGAGCATTCAATGAATGGTAGCCCAATGGCAGGCTACTTGTTATCAGCAAGCTGCTTGAGTCCACTCATAATTGTAATATACAGTTAGCCCTCCATATCCATGGGTTCTGCATCCTCAGAGTCAGCCAACGATGGACTGAAAATATTTGAAAAAAGTGGGTCTGCATAGAATACATACATAAATTTTGTTCTTCCAATTCTTCCCTAAATAATCCAGCTCAACAACTACTTACATAGCATTTACAGCATTTGAAATAAGCCACTTAGAAATCGGAGGATTTGGGTATACACAGGGATGCTAGAACTAATCCCCTCTAGATACTGAGAGATCACGGTTGTTTCCAGCTACAGGCGGTTTTAAAAAAAGAAACAGCAAGCCAGAATTAGTTCTCAAGAGAGCAGGCTCCTCTCTGCAACTGCCCAGGGCTTGCGGCCAAGGAACACCGAAGGTGCTGTCACCTGAGGAAAGTGCAGGCCTGGCCGATGACCTTCCTTTCTACTGCCACTGGACCCCGACTGCGGAGGTCAAGCAAACTGGAACACCTGGTGCTTTGGGGGAACATGTGCTCCGCCCACCACCTCTCCTTTGCTGGTTTGCTTTTTTTTTTTCCCTCTCCTTTGCTGTTTAAAGAGCCCGGGAACCAGGCTGGAGCCAGGGAATCGGGGAGCTCAGAAAGCTTACTTGAGCTGTGCTTGGCCAGGTACTTGTCTTTATACTTCTTCTTCTTCCCGAAAGGACTGCAGCTCGGGGCTTCACTTGGAGCGGACTGAGCCACGCTCGCCACCCGCCTGGCAGGAACAGACGACCGAAGTGTAAAAGCCACAGGTGCTTACCGTCCGTAAGCATGCCAAGTAACCCCTTTCCTTTCTACACTCAGATCCCAGGCTGGCTCACTCCGCTCACCACGCCCGGCCCACACACGACTCCATGCGGGGCTGGCTCCCAGGCCCACCCAGGCCACTCCCTCGCCTACTCAGCGAGTTTGTACGCGAGCGTCCAAACAGCCGGCGGTGGAAGTTTCTCTCGCGAGGAAACGAGCCCCGACCGTGTCCTGCCCTCGGGGCAGCCTGCCTTCTGGCCGGCCTCTGTCCAGAGGTGAACAAGGGAGGCAGGCACCACAGGCAGGGGGCCTTGGGCCTGGCACCCAAACCACAACAGTAAATGTATTGTCCATGGCAATCCTGTATTATAATGGGTGCACCTACATAGACGTACACACACACAAGTAGGACAACAGTTTTGTGAAACACCACCTTCTATTACTACGAGCAACGTATACTAATGTTTGTACATTCAATGTCATTTTTCAAAAGAAATAGCTGTTGCAGTCTACCAAACTGACGTCCCGCCTCATTAATGAGCTGTGGCCCACAGTTGCATTTCGTATTTTCCCAGGTTTTTCCAGCCATCTGCTGCTCCTGAGCTTGCGACCTTCTAAGCAAGGTGTAAACGGCCTAGAGGTCACAGCCAATGTGCTCCAGGTTTTGACCAGCATCACCCAGGGTCTGCACTGTATTTTTTCTGCTGCTCTCGTGCTAAATTTATTTCTACAAAGCACATCCTGTGGTTCGGTGCCATGTTTATAATTTCCCTCCCACTGCATCATCCCTGGAGATGAGATCAAGCAGAACTCCGGCTTCAAAGTGCAAGACTGGTATATGAAAGAACACCCCTGAGGTTGTGATCTCTATGCTGAACTTATGTTGCAGGGGCAGAGGGAGGGTCGGTGGTGAATACGGATTTTCCTGGACTAACCTACACTAAGTGAGCAATCTGACGTGGGGAAAGGAATTATTTCTTCTGTGTGCCAGGGATCTGTCTGTACAAAAGACACATGTTTAAAATGTGACCGTTTCCTGCAGGACTCATGAGTCTTCCCAGAAACAGCACAGAGTGGGAGAAGGGAGGCAGAAGACCAGGGAGGGCTTCGTCAGTGCAGGGGGAGGCACCTGAGGAAGCGAAGGAACCAACAGCTATCAGTGAAGTTTCTCGGCTCGCTGCAGGCCCTCCCTCACCCGTTATGCCAGGGAAGCCGGGAGGCTGCCTAGGAGGGCCAGTGACAACAGGAAAGAACCCAGAGTCATGCAGCTAAGTGACTGTCTGTGGCAGGCATGTGCCCTTTCCATCTACAGAGTCCATCTGCACGAAGGCAGCTCACCATTCCTGCAGCTCGGGGGAAGGGATCAGTCCCGCGGACTCCTTGGAGGAGCCTTCCACCCGCCCCTGCCACCAGTTGCTGTCATCCTTGTTGATGATCTGGATAATGTCCCCTGTAACAAACTTTAGTCCCGCCTCCTTGCAAGGGATCAGACTGTCTTTTTTGGGATCGTAGTCGAACTGTGCTCTCATGAACATCTGAAAAAGAAAGCAAAGGAAACTGCAGGCAGCACCCTGAAGAGAATGACCACTCTCTGAGCACGGATGGACAAAGTCCTGCTGCTCTAAGCTGTTTGTGGGGGATGAACACTGGGGAGCTGAGAGTGGTGGGCGAGCACCCGACAGAAGGGAGGTGGATAACGAAGGGATCGCGAGTGCCTGGTGTCACACCTGCACAGGATCAGAACTGACCCTCTGAACAAGAAGGCAGTGAGATGCCTTCCTTTTTTTTGTTTTTCTGGTACCGCGAATCGAACTCACGACCTCGCGCTTGCCAGGCAGGTGCTATGCCGCTGAGCTAAATCCCCAGCCCCTAAGATGTCTTCCTGATCAGCATGTTTTCAGTTACTGGATCGGAGCTGTGTGTCTCAGAGTACAGAGTGGCTACTATCTGCAATGTGTGTGCTCTCTCTACCAGTATGTTAAATAAACCTGGTAGACCCTTTCTAGAAGACAATCTAAACAATGCGAATGTGCCCTAAGTCTTCAAACGTTAATACCCCTACATTCCCCCTCTCCGCCTTTATCTGGGAAGTATCATCAGTGACATACAGATAAGCCTGCCCATCACAGCACTGGTCAAGCACTGCTTACAAGAGTGAGGTATTGGACAGAACCTTATTCACCACGAGTTGGAACCTGGTTAAATATGGTCACTACCAAGCATGTTACCATGAAACCATAAACAGCAACTTGTGGAATATTTAATGCCCTCAGAAAATGCTGCTGCTATGAGGTTAAATGAGAATGTCATTAGACAAAAACAATACTTAGTATGTTCAAAATAAAAAATAAGTATTGATTTATGCATAGAAAAAAGCCAGGAAGAAACTATAGTAGAACTTCATACTGATTAGCTGTGATAGTGAGATTAGAGGGTCAAATCCAACCCAAAGAAAGAAAAAAATAATGACGAGCAGAAAGAAATGAAAAAGACAATAGCACTAAGAAGATAAAGGCAAACTTGATTCTTTGAAAAGATTAATGATGTTAACAAAGCAGAGAAGACAATTTACTAGTAGAATTAAGGGTCTTTAATTGCACTGCTGTGGCTGCCTCAATGTCCTGAATCGATTCAAAATGTTGGCCTTTCGTGGTCACTTTGATTTCGGGGAAGAGCCGGAAGTCGTACCCTGTGAGATCCGGTGAGTAAGGTGGGTAAGGACGCACTGTAAGGGCTTCATGAGCCTGCCTTTCTGTTGGATGCCACTTGGCAGCGGCACTCCCCGCCTTCCGCTGACGCCTTGTAAAGACACTCAGGGGAGAGCTGCTTCAGAAAGTGGCATGAGCGGGAGATAAGTACGTTTACAGGGACGGAGGGCTTTTCATGGCCATGTGCCCTTCATTGTAAGGCACTCTTAAATTTAAACATTTGCTGTATATTTTGCTCATACCTTATGTATCTACCAAAAAAGAATTATGAAAATTCTATTCCACTGCTTCTGAGAGAGAGAGAGAGAGAGAGAGAGAGAGAGAGAGAGAGAGAGAGAAGAAAGCGAGGGGAGGGGGAGGGAAGGGGGAACTGATGGCTTTGTTGGCAAATTTTTCAAACAGTACTTGAACAAATAAGGGTAATCTCATACAAAATGAGACATTCTGAAATGATGGCATTTCCTAGCTCATTTTATAAGTCTAGCATAACTAAGATACCGCAGTGTGACAAGAATCTTATAATCTTTCTCAGCAACAGAGATGTAAGGTTCTGAAGCAAAGCATTAGCAAACCAAATACAGCAATGTACAAAAAGGACAGTCACAATAATACAGGATCTAGTTCAGCAACACAAAGGAAAAAAATCGTATGTTCTTCCCACTAGATGAAGCAAAAAACACTTGATAAAATTCAAAGCCCATTCAAGACTAAAATTCTTAGCAAATTAATGAAGAATAACTACAAAACCCTTACAATGTACTATACAAAAATCAACTCCAATGAGTTTTAGAAGAGAACATCTTGACGTTGGAGCTGTATTGTTTCTTCACCATCTGACCACCCCGGGGCCACCCTCATGCCACTGCCTGGCTGACTGTCCAGGCCTAAGGACAGTGAGCCCCTGGGCTTTAGTCCAGAGGAAACCAGCTCGTGTCTAACGGGCCCCTGAGCCACGCACTTGCACACTTATGGGATATTTAGAAGTTAAAGGTAGAATCAAATCTCAAAGAAAAAAAAGTGCAAAAAAGTAACAGGGAGAATGGCGCCACCTACCTGTAGTGCAGGAAGACGACTTTGCTGGTTGGGAATTACTTTTAATGAGATCATTCCTTTGGTTTCTTTCTATTAAAAAGAAAGAAGAAATAAAATTGTAAGGAACATTAACTTGAATGATTTTAGGTTCGGTGGCATCATTCACCCCCATCAAAGTCCCAGGTTCTCCCCCAACAGCCATCTTTACCCTACAGTTGGAGATTTTTGTAGGACTGCTCCTCCTGCAACATAAGTATGTGTCCCATCGCCAGAGTAACGATATGAAAACACACAAACAATAGTGAAGAAAAAGCTAATGACTTCTTCCTCCCACTCTTTCTCTTTTAAGACAGAGTCTATGTAGCCCAGCCTGGCCTCGGCGATCCTCCTGCCTCAGCTTCCTGAGTGCTGGGATGTCAGGCCTGTGCCACTGCACTGGGCTGCCTCCTTCCACTCTTGACCCCCAAAAGGTACTCAGAAGTTCCTACAATGATCCCGGGCACACATGGTCTCACCTGCTCAACAGATACTTTCAACGTACATCTTAGATATTACATTTTGACTTTTATAGAATTGAATCTCACTGTAGAAATGCAGAATCAAGTGGTATGAATATTTTGAGCTTTAATAATGATCCTCCGATTATTTTCCCCCAAAGATGGTAACAATTCCACTCCCACCAGGAGTGCAGGAGAGCTCTTTTCCTCTAAATTCTTGTCAGAATCACATATTCACATTCCTTTGTTTATTTTTATTTTTTTGAAACAGTCTCATGATGCCTTGAACTTGCAATCTTCCTGTCTCAGCCTCCTGACTGCTGGGCTTACAGGCATAAATCACCACTACTAGCAACATTCTTTTTAAATTTCTGTCAATCTGATAGCCGTTACAAATTTCATGGCTTTTTTATTTCATAATTTTGTTAAAACAAAGTTGAACATCCTCTCTCCTCTCTTCTCTCTCTCTTTCAATCTGAGAAATACAAATTGTATATTATTTGTCATTCCTGTTTGCAATGTGTTGTTTTGAAATATGTGTACATTGTGAAAGGACTAACTAGAGTAATTAACACATGCATTACCTCACATATCTTTTTTGTGATGAGAACACTTAAAATCTACTCTCAGCAAGTCTCGGGAATGCAAGTCGTTGTTATTAAATATAGTCACCGTGTTGCACACAAAATCTCTTCTTCTCTACCTGGAATTTTGAATACTTTGACCAACATCTTTCCATCACCCTTCTCCAAACCCAGCCTGCGGTAAGCAGCGCTCTACTGTCTACTTCTACAAGTTGGACTTTTTAGATTGCACATACAGACGAGTTCTACGGTATTTATCTTTTTTTGCTTGGCTTAGTTCACATAACATCCTCTGGGTTCATCTGTGTTGTGGCAAATGCAGGAATTTTCTTCTTTTTGAAGGCTGAGGAGTATTCCACGACGTGCACACATTTCCTCTTCATTGAGCATTGATTCTAGGCCCTAGTTGCTGTGAGTAATGCTGCAATGAATGAGTATCTTTTTAAAAGCTTACTGGCCATCTGCTTTTTCTTATTTCTTTCACGTACTTTTCTATCTGGTTGCTTGCATTTTTATAATAAAGTTTAGAAACTTTTTAGAATTATTAATTTTTACATGTACCATCTCCTTCAGCAAGGAGCTTATGTTCATAAGCTCAGTGTCAGAAGCCCATCCGCAGGGCTGTTCACTGCAGGCACGCCTGGTACTAACTGCTGTATTACTCGGCATCTCAGCAAGAACTAGGCGGCACGGGCCTGCAGTCCCAGGTACTCAGGTGGCTGAGGTAGGAGAATCCCAAATTCAAGGCCAGCCTGGGCAATTTAGCCAGACGCTGTCTCAAAATGAAAAACGAACAGCTGGGTGTGGCGGCTCACGCCTGTAATCCTAGCACTCTAGGAGAGACAAGACGAGAGGATCAGAGGTTCAAGCCCAGTCCGGGTAGCTTAGTGACTCAGCAAGACCCTGCCTAAAAAGAAAAAATAAAAAAAAGGGCTGGGGATGTAGCTCATTGAACCCAAACACCACGGGTTCAATCCCCAGAACTGGGAAACAAACTAACGACCAAACCCGGGTTCAGTCCCCAGGACTGCAGGAAGCGGGGCTGAAGAGATTTTCACGGAGGAACATTCACACACACACAGGCATCCTCAAGTGAGGGGGTACGAAAACTGTGCCTACGAGTGAGGGTCCAGCCTTCAGCAAACGGGTCTGGTGGGGAAGGCCTGCGGATATAAACAGCCTGTCTCATGTCTCATCCTCTAACTTGCTGCTGAACCCACCGAGCCCAGCTTACGCGGGGACGGAGTCAGCACACAGCCAAGCAGAGGAGTGGGCGAGACTCAGGAGGGGCCAACAGGGCACTCAGCAGAGACCCGAGCGCAGTGCTGCACAGACAGGTGCCAGACAAACGCCAACAGCACACCCGGCCGTGCACTCTGAAGATGAGCAAACAAAGACTGAGAGGTATTAATTCATCCACTCAAAGTCCAACAGCCAGAAAAGCCGGAATAGAGTTGCCACTAAAGGCCGAGGTCTTCCAATTTCCAGCACAATGTTCTTTCCAATACCCCATACTGATGCTCCTGGTTATTTGCCCTGCTTTTATCAGATGAAAGCGGAAAAACATCATTCCTTATATAGAATAAGTATCAGGAATAATCACGGCCCCCTCAGTGAAGTATAAACACTTTGGTAGAGAAATAAGGTCCACTGACATCGAAGCGCTTCAATACCTTGTGAAGTATTCAGCTAGCATAAAGGAACCTACCATGGCCTTCTGCAGCTGATCTACTGAGTGATTAGTCACATTTGTGCCATTGATTTCTAGGATCTCATCCCCCACATGAAGGGAGCCTGCCAGGAAAAAAAAAATTAGTGCATACAAGAATAAAAGTTCAAGGAAGCTGTCAGCGTAACTCAAGCTCGCAGAGGGGAGGAACCGTCACCCAGAGCATGGTACAAGCTAGATTCTGCGAAGTACCCAGATTGAAAACATTTAACCACTTCATGAACAAAACCCAAACTGCATAGGATACTTCAAAGAATCAACAACTGGGATGTCATCTTACTGAAAAGTTTCTGCACATCTAAAGAAATCACCAGCAGAGTCAAAAGAAAGCCCACAAATTGGGAAAAAACGTTAGCCAACTGTTCCTCAAAGGACTTCTATCTAGAACGTAGAAAGAATTAAAAAAATCAACCTCTCCAAATTCAAAGACCCAATCCAAACATGGCCATCTGAGATGAATACACACTGCTCAGATGAAGAAATACAAATGGCAACTAAATACATGAAAAAATGTTCAACATCATTGGTCATTCAAGAAATGCAAATTCAAACAACACTGAGATTCCATCTCACCCCAGGAAGAATGGCTAGCATCAAGAAATCATCCCATAACAAATGCTGGAGGGGCTGTGGGGAGAAAGGAACACTACTTCTCCATTCTTGGTGAGAGTGTAGACTGGTGTAACCACTGTGGAACTCAGTCTGAAGGTTCCTCGGTAAACTAGGATTAGCGGTCCCATTCAACCCAGCTATTCCCCTTCTGGGTATTTTCCCAGAAGAACTGAAAACATCATATCACAGCGATATATGTGCACCCATGTTTACAGCAGCGCAATCTGTAATAGCTAAATCGTGGAAGCAACCCAAATGTCCATCCACTGAGGAATGGATAAAAAAAGACGTGGTATTTTCATACAATGGAATATTACTCAGCTATAAAGAAAAATAAACTCGGGGCTTTTATAGGTAAATGGTCACGCCTAGAGACCATACTCATAAGTGAAATAAATCAGACCCACACGAGTAAATACCGTGTTGCCTCACTAGGGTAAGAACGCGAGGAAGTGAATGAAGTCTGAGGGGTGCAATGGATATTGTGAAGGGGAAGGAAACTGCTTAGGGGGGAGCAGCTGGGATGAGGGAAAAGAGAAAAGAAAGAAAGAAGGGAAGACACGTATGTATGTATAGACAGGATGGCTAAGACAGTTATACTACTGATTTCTATTGCTTTATTGAAAGGAAGAATTAATGTTTAACTGTTTGATCAATCTTACATGCCTATGTTTGTTTATCTGAGTAACCAATTTGAACATATTTGAACATATCAGTATATACTACAGCCACTGTTGCCAACTTCCTATCACCTTGTCTGAAAATATGTATTGCTTGTATTGTTTTTGCGTTACTTTGTAAATGTCCATGTGTCTGGTAATATGTTTTCTTTCTTTTATCTCTAAAATAAAAAAAAAAAATTAACCACAAGAGATAGAAATAAATGTCTTTTTGAATCCCTCAAAGGATATATCTAGGCAAGCACCTTCTCCTCAAATTCCTGGACCTAGAATGACTACTGACTCCAGGAGACTCAGACACACCGAGCAAGGCAAGGCAAAGCAAGGCAAGGCAGTAGTCTCATTCAGCAACAAGTTCAATGTTCCTTCGTTACTGTTTAGTTAAAACTCCACAATGCTCCCAAATGGTAAAGTTAATCACTGTCTGGATTCTGTGTAAAGATTGGTTATCAATATTTGTGCTATGTTGGATATCAGAAAAACCCTAAACATAAAAGGGTGAGAATTAATAAGGTAGGAAAAATTCATTTGAGTAGCCATCACCCCAACATTAGGAAAAGTTCCAGGCAGGGCTCAAAGAATGGCACGAATCAGATGGCTAAGTACAGGCTACCACCAGTTGCTGAAAGCATGTCCTATTTTAATATATTGTCCTGTTCTGTCATCACCCTCTTAAACAGATTTTACTAAACGATGTACCTGAGAATCGATGGCGCTTTAACATTAAGGCAACCCAACGGTAACGTCTGTTTTCTCAGTTATAAATTGCTAGCTTCAGCGCAGTAGCGATGATCTGTTCCCCTCACTGCTGTAGACTCAAAGTCTAATGCAATGGGAGGCATGTAGCAATGCTTCAAATATTAATTAACTAGAAAAATATCAGCCAAAAATGGTGTATAGGAAGGCTCCGAGGGAGAGATGCTGGCACTGGGTAATTTGTATTAAATCTTAGCATGCAGTTTTCTAAAGAGCCACTTATTAAGACACATTAAAAAAAGTCTGGCACAGTCACAAAAATGCTATTGGTTTTAGGATTGTACCCATCATGTCCCACACCACTGAACAGGAAGCAAATGATTAATCCCAGAATAAAACCCGACCTAGGACCCCCATGGCGTACCTTGTCTATGGATCATGCCACCATGAAGAATCCGGGCCACGGTACAGGACTGTTTTTCATTCAGTTTCAAAGTGATTCCCTGAAATAAAGGTAATGGCACAGTGAGCTCTATCTGAAGCTCTCTTTGAGGTTATCTTTAAAAGCGCTTAAGGCAGCTTCTCAGAAGAAACACTTTCCCTTTATATCAGGGATGGTCCCCAACCGGAGCAGGCAGGAAGCTCGCTCTGAGGAGCTGCAGGTGGGGGCTAAGAGACACAGTGGCTGAGTCGACTCTTGTGGCTCAAAGACCCACATAAGGGAGAGGTAAATGGTGGGTGACAATATGACAAGGGATTACCATGGGCTCCTCCGTGACCTTCTCAAACTGTATGAGCCGCACTTTCCGCACCTCCTGCCCCTTGGCCTGGGCAGGGCTCCCAGGGGAAGCAGACCCGTTGGCGTACATGTCCTCGGTTACAGCGTTCAGCTGGCTGGACACAGCCTGCCCAGTTCAAACAAGAGAGCAGTGGATGAAATAAGCAGCAAAGGCTCATGGTCAGCCCATAAACTGCAACTCGGAAATATTCAATGTCACTGTAATCGGTGAGAAAGGAATTAAATTGAAACCACAACAGGCTACCATTATATACCTACGAGAATGGCTGAAATGAAAAAGATGACACCAAGTACTGGAACTCTCATTTGCTGCTGGAGGAGGTGTTGAATGTCACAGCCGCTGTGGAAGGCAGCTTGGTAATTTCTGCTGTAAAGTTAAACTCACGCGATAGTCCAGCAACCCCACTCCTAGGGATTTGTCCAAAACAAAACTAAACATTTTTCCATGCAGAAATTTCTACATAAATGTACATAACAGCTTCATGTTCATAACAGCCAAAAAGTGGGAACAACCCAAGTGTTTCAGCACAAGAGAATGTATAAACCAGTTGTGACCCATCCATACAAAAGGATACCCTTTGGCAATGAAAAGGATCAAAGTATCAATACACGCAATATGGACAAATCTCAAAAAAGCTGTGTGCAGTAAAAGAAGACTTACAAAAAAGAGCACCATATGATATGGTATGATTTATATCAGATTTTTAGAACAAGCACAAATATTGTACAAAATTTAAAAACAGTGGTTGCCTCTGATGGAGTGTGGAAAGGGCTTGCTGGGAAGGGGCACGGGAGAACTTTCTGGGGTGCTGAAAATATTCTGTATCATGACAGAGGGCTGAATTACACAGACTTCTGTATTTCCTAACATTCATCCCATCGTGCACTTAAGATTTGTACATTTCACGGTATGTAAATTTTACCTCAAAATAACCCATAAGCAAATATTGGACTCTAGCCAACGATATGCGTGCTGAAGCTCTTAAGAGCCCAGTGCGATACCACCTGCAGCTTATTTTGAAATGCCATTCCCCACCCTGGAAAAAAAGCAAAGAGTGACCAGGTGTGGTAGCACACACCTGTAATCTCAGCTACTTGGGAGGTGGAGGCAGGAGGGTCACATCAAGTTTGAGGCCAGTCTGAACATTTAGCAAAACACTGTTTCAAAATTTAAAAAAACAGAAAGAGCTGGAGATGAGGCTCCAGCACGCAAGAGGCCCTGGGTTCAATTCCCGGTACCACAAAAAAGAGGGATAGATGGATGATTTGGGACAAACATAGCACCATGTTAACTGCCACTCCACTCCCACACGTGCCAAAAGAGGTGGACAGCAATGTCGCTGTAGCACTCTTTTTATAATGTTATAAAATTAGGGTTTTGAACTGTTTGCTTAGTAACCCATAAACGCTTCTGTACATTTTCGAAGAACAGTGGCATTCTCAAAACTGAGACCATCGATACAATGCTATGAATGTTTATATACTATTTTCATCAAGGGTCCCAATAATGGCCTTGGTAGCTGTATCTTACCAAGCCAGGATCCAATCTAGGATCATGCAATTTTCTTATCTCTTCACTCTTGTTTAATTGGTAAAGTTCCTCAGTCTTTCTTTGACTTTCATGGCCTCGACATTGTGAAGGACGGACTTACTGTTTTGTACATGTTTCTCAAAGTGGGTTTGTCTGCTGTTTTGCCATAACTAGATTGGGGTTATGCATTTTTGGCAGGAATCCCACATAGCCGTGCTCTTCTTAAATGCCCAAAGCACCACACGCATGGAACCCCCAGGCGATCACTCTTTTCCTTAAAATGCTTCACTCTTTGTTGGTTCTCCCTCACCTTACTGATCTACTAATGGTGACGTAAGCCAGGGCTTGAGGTAACAGCTGTCACAGTAAGGAAGGCCACATGGAATCCCTGAATATGCTCCTGTCCATCCAGATAAAATATTAAATAAAACACAATATGGCTGCCCGGCGGAGGAGGGACAGGCCTAAGCCAGTGTATACAAGAGTCGGGTTGGCATTTGGGCACAAGCTGAAAATTGATGGCCACTGCATCCTGGTCATGCCCAGGGGTGACCTGCAAGGACAGTGGGGAGGGATGATCATCCCGGAAGGAAGATCTGTGAGGACTGCACTTCATCACCCACTTGGCAAAGAAGCGCTGGGTGGAAGCATCTATTTCCAAGAAGTGTGCAAAGGCCCAGCTATGAGCCCAGAAAGAAGTGGACAGGAAGGTGGGAGATGAGGAGGTCTAGAACACAGACACAGGTCTCACGCAACATCTCGATGTGAATTCACTGCATCTTCCCCAGGAAGTCAGCAGAACCTGAGGCGGGGGCAGTGAGGTTTGAAGTAGTGTTACTGACTAAGTGATCTCAGATGTGGGAAGTACTGAGAAACAGAAACTGCTTCGTCTAGCAAATAGAACTTCCCCAAACTCATATGACACTGAGTCAGATGACACTGCATTTTAGCAAAGTCGTCTAAAATAAGGTTGTGATTTGAAAACTGACTTAGGGTACCTGGAAGCGCAGAACTTCACGTCATTCTGAGGTACTCTACGGTAGAGAAGTCAAGGATTCTGTTAACACTGAATGGGGAAAGACCATGTCACCATGACAGGGAGTTTCTGAGGGCATCTTGAAGCACGCGGCTAAGTGAAAAAAACCATGAGGACAAGTACACTAGCATCAGTGTAAACTGTGAGCAAATGAATGCATCTGTGTCTGACACTGTTGCTAGAGGAAAACACAAAAAGTTGAGGTTGCTTCTAGGGACACGAGTTGGGTAGGTTCATGACTGGGTGAGAAGGAAGTTGCTTCTGCAGTATCATCATACCTCTCAAATCATGCACTAGACACATGCACTACTTTAATGAAAGAAATCGTAAAAGCACACAAACACGGGTTAGAAATCTGGGTGTACCTCTCAACAGAAATATACAGAGTTTGAGTTAGATCCTGGCTCTTTACTAATAGCTGGGTAGCTTTAGGGTAAGAATCTTGACCTTCCTGTGCTTCCATCTCAACTAAGATGAGGCCAGTGACAAAATGACCGTAGAGGGCTGTGATGAACACGTGCTCAGCATAACGCCTAGAAGCACTCAGCCTCCGCAGGCCACAGCCAGTAAGATGCTGCACAGATCTGCCAATCCTGAGATGCTGCTGAAGAAAATGCTCAGTATACAAAATTTCATGCATTTCTTTACATTTAGATTGCAATGATTCGTTTCTAATCAGGCAAACGAAAGCTTCTTATTCCTAAAAGACAGACAAAACACAATGCTTTATATTTTGACAAATGGGATGTTCCTAAATGTCTGGCTTCGTGTTCAAGGTAGCAGCCTAGGTCCTTGTATGTGTCTGGCCTCACCAGACACACCCTTTTAAAAGCCTCACCCACCACCCTTTTAAAGTGAGAGCAAAGGGTGAGGGAGGAACCCACACACACCAAAGGAAAGCACAGAAAGGTCAGAAAGCGAGGTAGGGATGGGCGTCGATCCAGAAGAGCCAACAGCTCAAGCCCAGGATGTGCGCACGGATGAGGCAGAGATCTGCGCTGCTGTGCAGAATGCAGCCTTGAGCCGGCTCTGCTTTGCAGGCAGGGAAGATGGGCCTGGCCACGGCACCCATGCCAAACTCCTCATGGCCACCTCTTCCTGCATTGCTGGCCAGCACTGTAGGGCACAGCCACCCCGAGCAGTGCCCACAGGGCCATTCCAAACAGGAGAAGGGCTCTGCAGGTGAGGAATGGGATGAGGGGGGGGTGAGCAATCAATTCTAAGAGTATGAAAACCATTTACTGATTTTCACCTTTTCTTTTCTTTTTTTTTTTTTTTTGAGACAAGGTCTTATTATGCAGTGCGGGCTGGCCTTGAACCCATCATGTAGCCAGGCTGGTCTCAAACTTTCAGTGATCCTCCTGTCTCAGCCTTCTAAGTGCTGGGATGACAGACACACAAAACCAAGCGCAGATAATTTTCACTTTTTTGAATCCTCCCATAGACAAATCCTGAAATAGTTACAGGTAAAGAACAGACTGCAAACATCAGCACCATGATGATATTAAGACACGTACATGATAGAGATCGAAGGTAACAAGAAAAGAAATAAAGAGAAGGGGTCACCAGTCTTGGGAACAAGAAAAAAGTTCTACCAGCACTAGCATGGGCTGGACAGGAAATCAAGGAATAAACACATACAGTTCCAAGAGTAACCAGCAAAGCAGAAACCAATGGCCCATAAGTCTGCTCTATTTATATCTGCTCTGTCATGTTCTCTTTGAAACCTCACAAACTCTCAAGTCTGTACTTTTGACTTGCTGGCTCTTTAACCACTCCAAATATCAACCAAAAAGCAGAGATAAGAATTTGATTTTTGGCTGCGTGTGGTCGCACTGCATGTAATGCCAGCAATGTGGGAAGCTGAGGCAGGAGGATTGCAAGTTTCAGCCCAGCCTGGGCAATTTAGCAAGATCCTGTCTCAAAATTTTAAAAAAGGGCTGGGGATACAACTCAGCGCAAAGACCCTGGGGTCAGTCCCCAGCACTGAAAGTGCATTGGATTTAATGACGTTCCACACAATCCTGCCACTGGTTTGATGGCAGGTATCTGCACAAGCAGGCCTGTGTTCTCTGAGGAACTGCTGCTACTTGGGTTTCCTGTTTTTCTTCAGTGGAAGCAGAAACTTTTGCAGGCATACAAAACACACTGGTAGATAAGGCACACTGGAAAGGATCTTTAGACACTTGACCTTCGGACTGATGGATGTGCTCTCGGATGGATTTAGTGCCTAGGAAACAAAGTGCCTCGTTAATGTATGATTTTAAGACAGTGCCTGCCAGAAAGTCCTGGGTCTCAGGCCTTTCTCTCGCCCCAATTCTTATCAGTTGTGGTTAAACAGTGCTAATTTCTTTCTAATTCCTTGGAGCACTCTGGGTCTTCTCATAGCTCGTGTTTGTCCCAAAGTGAACAGGATCTGGCCCACGCAAGGAGTGGACACCTGTGTGTTCCTGGGCCCCGGCACTGCGTGACAAGGTTGCCTGCCAGGTATCAGGGCCACCCTCAGGATCTGCTATCTCAGGCTCCACCTGCCTTCTTG